AGAAGCAGAAGCAGAAGCAGAAGCAGAAGCAGAAGCAGAAGCAGAAGCAGAAGCAGAAGCAGAAGCAGAAGCAGAAGCAGAAGCAGAAGCAGAAGCAGAAGCAGAAGCAGAAGCAGAAGCAGAAGTAGAAGCAGAAGCAGAAGCAGAAGCAGAAGCAGAAGCAGAAGCAGAAGCAGAAGCAGAAGCAGAAGCAGAAGCAGAAGCAGAAGCAGAAGCAGAAGCAGAAGCAGAAGCAGAAGCAGAAGCAGAAGCAGAAGCAGAAGCAGAAGCAGAAGCAGAAGCAGAAGCAGAAGCAGAAGCAGAAGCAGAAGCAGAAGCAGAAGCAGAAGCAGAAGAAGAAGAAGAAGAAGAAGAAGAAGAAGAAGAAGAAGAAGAAGAAGAAGAAGAAGAAGAAGAAGAAGAAGAAGAAGAAGAAGAAGAAGAAGAAGAAGAAGAAGAAGAAGAAGAAGAATAAAAAGAAGAAGAATAAGAATAATACGAAGAAGAGGAGGAAGAAGCAGACGCAGATGCACGAGAAGAAGCAGAAGACGAACAATAAGGAGCAGAGGAAGATGAAGAAACATAAGAATGGCACGAAGAAGAAGAAGCAGAAGATTAAGCAGAACAATTGAATAAGAAAAATAACAAGGAGGAAAAGAGGGGGGGCTAGCCGTTCTGGCTCAAGGCGCACGTGGTGGAACCCGCCCCAGGTGTGGCTTTAGACGCCGCGCCACATCTGCCTCTTTCTTTCCTCTCCTCCCTACCCCAAAATTTATCGTGGAGTTCGGTGCTCAGCTTCGCCTTTTGGGTGGAGTCAGGGGCACCTTAATAAGGAGAGAGAGAGAGAGGAGGGATTCCTTTTCCATTGCTTCCGGCCTTCGTGGGTTGTATCATGGCGGTAGTCCACATTCTTGTGTCTTCACTCCAAGTCCTTCGAGAAGAAACGAAAGACATATTGCAGCCATGACAAAACATGTCAATGGAGAGGGAGATGCTTCCAGAAAGGAGCCGAGCAAACAACACCTGGCACACCACCGACAGCCGCAGCCCAGCGCCAACCACCTTGTCAGCCGCCCCCAAGCGCGGACAACACCGCAGCCTCACCCGGCTGAGCCGATGACAACCCCCTCACACCGCCTGACGGGGGAGAAGCAGACGCAACAGACACCCAGATGGGGGAGCAACAGCAGGAGCTCAGCAAAAGCAGCCCGGCCCAGACGAGCCCCAAGTACGATGGCATACGATGGCTCAGCACATTTCCCCAGTGTGCCAACCACACCACCAAAGTTCAGAGCGAACGCGAAAACACCGGCGCCAGGACTACATGACTACACCAAGTCAAGCAAGGACAGCCGGCGCCCATAGCGACCACGATTCCGCAGCCAAATCCTCCAAATGGCAAAACCCACGCAAACCCGCTGTGGCGCCCCGGGCCCGAGCGGTGCACCGATGAGGCAGCGAAAACAAGTGAAGCTGCACCACATACGTCAGTTTGCCACCATTCCTCGAAAAGGGATTTCTTCGCTGTCTTCCACCCAGAGACATCCAAATCTTTCCATTGTTTGATCTGTGTAGCTGTCGGGTGTTGTGTGTTCAGTTGGGGGTCCTTTCGGTTGTTGGGCGAAGGGGACCCTTCCGATCGAATTTCAATTTGACTTACACCGAACACGCCCAGATCCTCGACCACCAAACGATCAGGGAAGGCGAGGACCTGCACAGATCGATTCTCTGCCCGATGTCTCAGCAAAGACTGCGAGAAAAAACCGGCGAAGCCCCGGAGCCGATGGCCCACGCAACCTGACGAAGTGGGGCTGAGGGGGGGTCAGAGCCCCTCACCGGTGAAACCTGAAAAGCTTGGGATTCTTCGCACTCGGCCCAGGGCTGGAGATGGCGATAGGGCTCCCAGACTCGGGATGCCCATGTCGTGTCGAAAAGCTTTGCCCTGCGGGCCGTCTCAACCGAAGATCATGCGCCACACCAGGTCCAAGACGCCTTTCCAAGAACTGGAGCAGGGAGATAGCCGCGTTCCTCTTAACCAGTTGAGCATGATCGATGTCTTGTGTCACGATCCACGCGTGAGATTGAGACTCTGGGGAAAGATGCCTAGGCCGGTCCTGTCAAAACGAGAGACCCCGCTTTGAGGGCCACGCAGTGCCATTCCCTTTTGGGCCTTAAAAGGAGCCTTTAGCTACGACCGGACGAACCACTTGGCCATCGTGGCGGGGTTCTCTCTGCATGAGGGCACTCTTAAGTGCGCAGAAGAAGAAGAACAAGAAGAAGGGGGGGGGGGGGGCAAATTTAACAAGCATTGCTATTTCCACCCCCACCCCCCTTTTCTCGGGGAGTGGGAATTCCTCTATCCCTCTCTTTCCTCTCCTCCTTCGGATGAAGCCAAGAAGACCCCTGCCAGCGGGGGGTGGGGGGGCCAACTATCACTAAACAAAAGCCCTACGGCCCTACGGAAACACGAAGCAACAACAACCAAAAGCTAACCATTTCTTTTCTTTCTTCAACCATAAATTCCGGGCAAGGACGCAGACAAACGAGAACCGAAACAAAACAGACATGCAAAAACGCGGAGCCGCACAGCGTATCTGTCAGTGAACAATGAGTTTTTTCCAGGCGCCCTGGCCGAGAAGTCGCACTGCTCCAAGTGTGGCAATGTTCATGACTACTGTTCGTGTCAACGCCAAGAGGGATGGAAAAAGCGAAATGAACAACTGGAGCTAGCCTCGTTTGCCTGTAGCTCAGGTTAAAAACTCTGTTTATGCAGCCAAATTCGTTGACGACGCAGTCCCGGCCCCAATGAAGATGCTCTGGTGATCTGGCCAAGCCAAACTGGTAGGGGAACCTGAGTCGCCCTGGACCACCTGACTGCATCCCGCGTGTAGCAGTTTGCAACATGGTCAGAGGTCCTTCGATCGCTCGGGTGCTGCTGACAGTGCTCCGCGCACTTACCTTCAGCCCCGAGCTTTGCTCTTGCCTTGCTTGCCCTTGCTTGCCCTTGCTTGCCCTTGCTTGCCTTGCTGCACTGGCAGCTCGACTGCCTCCGCCTCCCCTTCAGGTTCCAGCGTTGTGGACCTCCGAGCAAGATTCATTTCGATGTCCAGGAACCGGAGGTGCGCTGCGTAAGCCGAGCAGCCTAGACACTCCGAATTCTGGTCGGTGATGCCTGATGGTTGCACTGAGATGGCGGCCGCCATTGTCACTTGCGGTGGTTTGTGCCGCAGCCTCAGTGGTGCGAGGTGACGAGAGGTTGAAGGGCAACAGTGCGTTTGCTGCATGTGAAGTGTGAGCTCAACTGGCAGGCCCTGGCTTGAACAACGTTATTCGTGAGATCGTCATGATGTGTTTTGCGTGCCTTGTCTTGTCGAAGATGTCGGGGATTAGGGACCTCTTGGAATTGCAAGCATCACGCAGGGGCCACTTTCATTGTACGACTTGTAGGTATGGTTTGAAGAAAGTGTACGGCATCATCGGCGGGTTCAAGGGCTGCGTCGAAGACGACAAATGGGCCTGGCACCAAGACTGGCCAAGACTGCACTGTCTGCCCTCAAATGTGGGTTTTAGATGGCTGTAGTAGAACTGTTCTAGATGCCGCCCCTGCACTGCAGGTGGAGCTGACCCCAGAAACTGTCGGTTTCTTATTGCCACGAATCAATTGGTGCGTGTATGTGCGTGTGTTGCAAGCTCTTGCCGAAGTCTGCCTGGCCAGGTTGAGAACATCCACAAGCTCGGCGGCAGCATTCTCGTGTCAGATCGTGGAAATCCGCCCCACTCCGAGATCGCAAAGGCCACCGTGTTGGAGCACGTGTTGCATGATAGTAGCATGCATCCCGCGATGGTGGAGTCAGTCTGCAGCAGAGTTGCACTTCTGCGCGCGAAAATATCTTCCACGGCTCTTGCTGCTTTGTGCGCGACTTCCAGTAGCCGCAGCCGGGCTCAGAACACCGAAGCCGGGCTGGGCCTGCAGACCATATGGAGCCTTTGCTTATTCTTGTGGCTTCAGATTCTTCAGATTGTCGAGTCGAGTCCTTTTTGCTTTGTTGGCTTTCTTTGCTTTCCTCGCGTTGTGCTTCGACGCAGGTAGGTCCCAGGTAGGTCCTATCGCAGTCAAGGAGACCTGGGGCTGTGGGACAGCGTCTTGCTTCTTGGTGATGTTTGGCTTTGCTAGAGACTATGCTAGACTGATTGGCCTGAGCCGGGGAGCCTCTGAGTACTGAGGTGACCGGGAAGGTTCAGAGACCAGGAGCGAGAGGAACTTCTTACCTTGTAAGGCACCTTGCGAGTCGCTTTCTCTCAATCTCTGCAAGATGCTCGGAGATAGGGCTTGGTGGGAAGTCCTGCGAAGGCCCCCGCGCATGCGGTTTTGGAGCCGAACCTCAGCAGGGAGGGGAGCCTGCGAACCAGTAGCTCAGCCGATTTTTTTAATCGTTCTTGACTTAACTTTTACTTCCATAGCCACTGTGTGTGGGAGCACATGCGCTTGTCCGTGGTGGTGCGTGAGTTCAGGCGTCGGCACCGACAGCTTCGAGCACTCGCTGCGCGAATCGCTGCTGACACTCCAGCAAGAGTTCTCCGGCTGCACCAAGCTGAACCGGCTGTAAGCTGTAAGCAGGCTGTCTCTGGACGTCGCTTATGTTCTCGAGTTTTCCGGCTTGATCTAAGGATTGTTGCTCACCACAATGCGGCATACTCCACTCTTATGCAGGAGAAGAAGCTGTTGAGGAGCCGTGGTCTTGTTGCGCTATCTTGCACGGTGCCTGTGCACATTCACAATACCCTCTTCGCTTGCGCGCAGTCTGTTCTTGTAGCTAGCTATGATGTGTACCCACTGCAGGCAGGAGCTCGATGAGATAAGCAGTGTGCAACAGAGCACCCAGGAGAGCGGCCGTTGCCGATGCACGCTGTCCTGTTCTCATTCGACGGTAACTTGTGGCGACTGTGTAAGGTTTGCTTGTTTGCTTACTCTTTTTACCCAAAGAGCCAGCAATCAGCAGATGTCCCGTCGGGGGCTTGCCATGATTCTGAAGGAGCCTCATGGCAGCAATGACCAGCCCCCACTGGACATTGACCTGATGATCAACAGGGCCATACTGAACGAGGACGATTTCGCCTGCTCTGCCTGCTCGTGGCTATTCGTCAGACGCCTGTTACGAAGGGGTGGCTTATCCTCACAGGAGCAAGGAAAGGTTGGTCTCACACCCGTCGCGCACATTGCTTCTAAAACCGCGCAACAGGACGGTACGAGTCAGCCAGACGTGGTCTCGGCCGGATCACATTGTAGCATGAACGGGCGAGCGTTGCAGAACTGGACGCAGCTCATCCTCAGAGTGCCTCGGCCGAATGATTGTGATGCCAGTATGCAGTCCCTGATCAAGCACGGTCGAGGCTTCAACAGATTTCAAGCTGGCCAAGAGGATGCAGATGTGGCTAGATAGCACAAGTCATGTGAGCAACCAGATGGTGCAGTCATACAGCACGGCTGGAATGTCCCCAGTCCTTCGGATCCGGCGCTGCAGCTGCACCCGCTTTGGCTCACCAAGCAGCAGACACGACAGGCGAGGAACATCTAAAAAATGCACTCTACAGAAAGGGGGGCCTAAGGATCGCTTGGGGGATCGGGGGTGACACAGGCTGGCTTCGCTGCTGCCTCGAATCTGCGACTAAACATCTCCACTGCGCTGAAGCCGCTCGGAGTGTTGTGTAGGGCTTTGGCTTTGCTCTCAGCCACCTGCTGCACACCTTACCTGGCGCCAGAACTGGTGATCGGCGCACGGACGACTCGTCCTGTCTTCAGCCCTACATCATGCACCCTGGCACACCAGAGTGTCAGAAAATGACGAACAACCAGAGTCACACTGTCAGTATCACACGTCCAGCCGGTCACTGGGCACATGCCTGAGGAATCCATACGGTTCCAAACGACTGGCATGGGGAGTCCTGGGTGTTGTGATGATCCTCTGGGACTTGGTGGCGCCTCAGCACAGGATTGGCCTCACCAGTCCCAAGGCATGTAAGTGCAGACGACAATCTCAGGTGATCCCCCTCACTGTCTTTGAGCTGGGTCAGTTCGAAGGTGCTGTGGACGGGATGGGGTACATGACCTTCTGCTACTGGCTGCTGGATCTTGCAGGCTGCTCTGGGAAATGATGGGTGCGGGTTCACTTCTGACTTCTGAGCCAAAACACACGCACGCACGCACGCACGCACGCACGCACGCACGCACGCACGCACGCACGCACGCAGTTGCTCAGGCTCCTTCCTTGTGGGCAGCGACATGGAGGGAACACTGGAAATGCGACCAGGGCCTATCGCTTCTGCGCAGACTGGATGCAAGTTGCGGTGAGAATGTAGCAGGTGCTTGCTTGGTAAGCAGAGGCAATGCGGCTACACAGGCTGTTTCTGCTTTATGAATCACACCAGTAAAAGTCCAGAAGACTCTAGACGCCGAAGGTATCTTCGATCATGGTTCTTCCCAGACCTTCTGATTATAATTCTGGATGTGGTGCTGTTCATAGTGACCGCGCGACTCGACTTGAGCATGGCCCTTTCCTTTGATCTGAACTCTAGCGTTGCTGTTGGTTATTGGCTGCGCTGCCTACTCACCTACTCGCTATTTTTTGTGCTGAATGTGTTTAAGGGTTCCGGTGCTCGGAGGAAAACGTGGTTACACGGATTATGCATGTCGCAATGTCGGTTTGAATGGACCTCAACGTGGGGAGAGCGAGGGCTGTTGAGATGCAAGGCTGGCCAGTGATGTTGATGGTGCGGAGGCTGCGGAGACGTTCCGCATCGCGCGGGGTCTTCGATGCTCGGCCACACAGTTTGGGCCGCATTGCGGCTATGTGACCGAAGGAACGTCTCAAGGTCATTCAAGGTCAACAGGTCACGTGCAATGCTCGTGAGTCACCTCACGCATCCGGAGCTGTGAGTGGTTGGTGCGCTCTCATGTCGTACTCAGCCTCCTTTGCTTGATTGGCCATTGCTGGGATTTGCAGGACGTGCCAAGAAAGGACAGAAATTGCCCCTAAATGTGTGGTAAGGACTGATGCGCTTCATCCGTGCCTTGGACGAACTGTTCGAATACGAAAGCCTTCCGAGCGTTCGGCGAAAAGTGCAGGGTAGAACCGCTCTGGTACCACAGCCAGTTCAAGGCAGTTGTAGGCTGGGGAGTGTAGCCAAGCATCTCCCAGCGAGCTGAAGGACTGCTGCGCCTGCACAAGGCGGCAACGATTGCGGACGTGATTCAGATGCGGATGAGGTCGGAGTATCTCAACCTGCTGGCTCGTGCCTTAGATCGCTTGGGATCAGGTGTGGCCTCTGCCTGGCTTCTTGTGCGAGCTGTAAAGGATCAACAAGTCTACGGCGTGTGGCAATGTGAGGTGAAGATGCTCCGGCAGTCGATGCTCATCATCATCGTGCGACTCCCTTGCAGGATGACCTTGCCTGTGCAGTGACTGGTTGCTCCTCTCTGACCTTTGAGGAATCACTACATTGCCTGTGCCTGGTTCTCTGTCAGCGATCTCATCGACCAGAACGACACCTGGGTGTACGTTTTCGGGGTCAAGGATGCCGCTTCTTGGCTAGTGACAGTCGGGTCTGTTGTGAGCCTTGTCTTGTACGCTGAGCTGAACCATCAGTAAGGGGCTCACCGAGCAGTACTTGACCAGCTTCCATTGGGCTGGGCGCATATCGTCTTTCGATTCTCTTCGGTTGCTGACATAGGTTCGCTTTGTTTGTTTCTTGTGTGCCGGGGACATGCAACTGCGCACAGCTGCGCCACTGAGTCCTTGACGCAGTTTGCGCCTGCCACCAACAACATCGCCCCGCAGAATTGGATCGAGCGGGCCTTTGCAAGCTGCATCGTTGCCTGGCAGACTTCAGCAACCGTGCTGACGGCCGGTGATTGTGTCGGGGCCGCCCACCACAACTGCTCCCCCTCATTGTGTGCTTTTATCAGGGTTCGGATGTGCCTTGCAGCTGCACGTGGCCTTTTCCATGTAGTGGACCGAACACCCGACCATCGTTGGCTGGTGGCACGAATGCAAATACGTTTTTTCAACTGAACCAGGCAAGCACCAATGTGTCGCCAACCAGACTTTTTACCAGCATTTCAACGACAGTTTCTGAGCACTGTCCGTCCATGTTGCAGGCATGTATTTAGAGCTACTTGAAGGTAGTGCTTGTCAGCTTGTCAGATTCGGACCCGACCGACGTGAGAATAGACGGCTAGATGACGACATCCATGGTTTCAACTGCAGTTGGGGAAGAGGTCATTTATGCCTTTGTGGCGTTCTCCTCCTTCGTCAGCGCGGTCACGAATGCCGCGAACGAGCTGCGTGCCTTTACGCTGCTGGATTGAAATAATCGCGCGGCAAGGGTCGTTTAAGTCGGGGTACTGCAGGTGGGGCTGCTAGTGGTCGACACATTCGGCGAGCCCTTAGGCCGTAAGCCCTAGTCATGTATGGCAGCCAGGTTTGCGTGAGTCATCGGTCTGGCCTCGTGTGTAGGAGTTGATGGTCCGCTTTCTTCATCAAGCCTGTTCGGGTCTCCTTGTGTGTGTGTGTGTGTGTGTGCAAGCAGCGTGCAAAGCTGTCGAAGCCTGTCACCAGTGGACACGACCCACCCTCATCCCCGAAATGTGTTCGGGCCGTGACGGGAAGCTCGTGCGCCCAAAAAGGGTATACGATTTGATGCGCAGATTTGACTGAGACAGGTTGCAGAGGTTGGAGAGTTCCCTTAGTCGAGAAATTCCATGCACTTTGATGCAGTGTGTTGAGCAGGATGAGAAGTTCGCAGCAGGAGGCACAGATCCGCCGGTTCCTGGGTGATCAGACTCTTGGCTCGGAGAGGCTGTCCCGAGATGGTGCTGAAGGCTGTTTCCCGAGCCTCCAGAGACAAAGTCGACGCGAGACTTTCTTTTGTTGAGCACCCAGCGGTGTCATGGCTTTGGAATGAGTGCAACTGCGATCTTGGCGGCCATTAAAAGTTAGGCTCTAGGATTCTGCCACCCAAGGAAAGTATCTTCCGACCTTTGGTGCCGCATCCGCAAATTCTGCCAAGAGGCAAACTCCAGGTCGCGCATGGTCACCGAACAGGCCTTTTGGCAGCAACATGTTGGAGACAGCTCTAATCAGCTGTTCACCCCCCTCCATGCGGTATGCCGTATGTGGCTGGAACCAAGAGCTTTCATGTCCTCACGGGCTTTCCAAGTCGCCGAGACTTTCGGGACCTTCCAGGGCCGCTTTTAAGCGCACGGCCTTCTGTAGGGCCCTCCAACACTTCGAAAGGTGCCTTTCAAGAGCCAGAAAAACGATGAACAACGATCAGTTTGTATCAGACTTGAACGGACAGGTCTTGCAGAGCCTCACAGGATTTGGGACAAACAACGCTCACGCTGGAGTTATCTAGAGTTCAAAGGGCACGGAGGGGCTTTGGTCCTGTTCGTGCTCGTGGATCGCTCGCGAACTATGAAAGCCAACCGCCAGAACGATTTAGTCAGTGTAGACTTCCTGTGTTTGAAGTTGGTTCAGCCAAGCAATGTCTCGATGCCTTGCGGATTCTCGCTCGAGGACATCGCAGTTTTCAACGAGATCCCCGAAAGTCTCCGCATTGTTATGCACGAAGAGTTGTACCGGGACTTCTTCAGGGCAGCCCACATCTTCAGCGGCTTCCACGTGCCTTTGCTACGAGAGAGGATGCCTTCATGCTGAGATAGATGCCTTGATCGCTTGAAATTCTTTGACCTTCTGTCGCAGCGCGTGCGCAGTAAGGAAGAGAACCCCCAGCTGGTAAAGCGAGTCTGCCACTTCTGCTTCCGAGAAAGTGTGACTTGGCCAGATGCATGCCCTTGCTTGGGTTCGTCCGCTTCTGCTACACATGCCCATACCCAGCAGGCTGTGTTAAGCTAGGCCTGGTCGAAGGATGGTCGCTATACCGGTCAAGAACAACTCAATGAACCACGAAGTGGCAGGACCGCTACACCTCAGTCTGGCATGTGATGCTCACAGGCGGTGCATGCCAAGCTGGATGTCTTCGTAGATGGCACAGAAGCAGATCATGTCTTTGTGTCCCGCACCTTGCCAGCATTTGAACTGTGCAGAATGCGTTGGGGATTCGACTAGAGATATCGAGATGCTTTGGATTGAGGCAGCGGATCTGCAACTTACTGGAGTGTCCTGCTGGATAACAGACACTGGGATTGCATCACGACGGTGGAGCTCGGACTACACTAGGTCATTGGTCGTTAGCGAGAGGCATGCCGCAAAGCCCCTTCTTTCGCTCGAAGTCTTCATCGCTGTGAGCTTTTGTAGTTGGTGTATGCAGACGTCGCCAGACTTGCGCTGAGATCACAAGTCTTTGTCGGGAGAGGGCCACTGGCTGCACCTTGGAAGCAGAGCTGCTGTGGTGCAGGGAATGCCCGCGCACCCTCCGGAACTGCTTGGGCACAACTGCTTCAGGTGCGAGCTTGCTCTCTGGGCCAGATGGAGTCATCGTGGCCAGCTGGTGGCAGACACCACAGTTCGTGGCCCGACTGTTGCTACGAAAGGTTTGAATTATCAGCGCTCGTTGCATTCCGAAGGCTGCCGTTACCTGCACATCAAGTCTGAAATCCTTTGTTATTGCCATGAGCGAAGGATTTCTGATACTGAACCCACAGAGTTTTGCGACGGTGGCTGCGAGCGAAGGAGGCTGTAGCGGCTGCAGCGTATTGTCTTCCACACAGAGGGGAGGGTTGACACTGAATGTCTAGCCCCTGACGCCACGAAGAGAGATAGAAATTCATGGGTCATGGGGCCATGGTGGGACTGCAGGAAGTTTCTTTGGCTACCTTCGCACGCTCGGCTTGCTTCTCATCGGCTACGCTGAGGTTGTGGAGGACCTGGGGATGGGTTGTGTCGGACTTGGCTCATGACTCACTGGTGGTTGCTCGTGGTGTGGGAAATCTAGTCCCTCATAGACGCGGGGCTCAAATGGCTCAATGATCAGGGCAACTCATCGAGCAGTATCAAGCAGGGCCTGGCACGATACAGTCGGCGGAGGCTGTTGGCTGAGGGGGCTTGTTGAAGCTTACCTTCCACTGCCATCAATCTTAGTGGATATTGACGGATAGATTTTGCTACGGGCCAGCCCCTCTGCTGGTGATCTCGACTGTGGCTATGCACATAAATGTACAGGTTTCCACCCAGGATTTCAACATATTTTTTTGTAGTTCCCCAAAGAAGTCTGCCGACACTATGGATGCAAGTGGCACGTGCGGATGCGTTTTCGCAAAGCCTGCACGTGCATTTTGCTCGCACTCTCGCCTAGAGCGTAGTGGCATGGCCGTGCTCACCATCCTCGAAACCGTCATCTTTTTTTTGGCTTTCGTGTTCCTCGTGTTTGCCAGATGCAAAACTGTCGTCGCTGTTGGACCCCTGGCATCACTAAGTGCGAAGCTGTCGTCCCTTTTTTCGCTGGCATAGTTCAATCAGAAGATTTAAGCCGTTGGTCGAGAACCTATGCCACGTTGTGCTTTGTTGTTTGCATTGATCTTGTTGGGGGGCTGCGGGCGGCAGGCTGTGGCCGGATTGCTTCTGAGTTGCCTTCGGCCTTGGGTCCTCGGCATATTTGGGGTTGTCCTGACATGATTTGCAGGAGAACTCTCAGCGCATCACGGATCTCACGCTGGGCGATATCCTGATCAGAGCGTTTGCCAAAAGGCGGGTTATGAAGCGGTGAAGTCCACTGCAGGTCTCACTATTTTCATGTATGGTCGTGTCATCGGCAGCTTGGGATGGACAGAACTGTCAGTAACACAGTCGACCACGATAGCCGCACCAGCGAACTGTTGAACTTGCCTTCCTTGTTCACAAGTACCAGAACCTGAACAGCTGGTACAGGGTGTTTTTGAATGCTCGGAGCGTGCAGGGCCATTGGCTTCGCTGACTTGAGCAACGAAGATGCTCCAAAGTCTTTGAGGCGACCCTGTCTCCTTCTTTTGCCCTCGCTCTGTCTCTGTCATCTCTGCTTCTCCTTCCCTTTCTCTGCAAAAAATTGCTCCACCATGTCGTTGCAATGGCCACAGAATGCATCCGAATACCCTACGCCCTTTGTGAGGATCTCGAGCCTTTCCGCCCTCTCTGGGCAAGTGAGGAGCAATGGCTCCCGCAACGCTGTGCGTAAAGTGTAAAGCCACGAGCTGAGCAGCAGACAGCGATATCAGTAGCAGTACACCAGCCCACAACACCACGCATCTCATGGAGAACATGTGACGGTGACATGTCGCAGGAGTGGACGTACCTTTCCTAGCCTGTGCGAACAGAATCTACAGGCTTAAGGCTCCGAAGACCAGTTCGGTGAACCGAGCGAACACGCCTGCAGCATGCCGCAGCGCCTCCACTAGAGACAGCCTGTTAAGAGTCGGCGCAGTCCACGCAGTCCAGTTCGCATCCATACAGGGTAATTCCCACTGAGAATTGGGCTGACCGTATGACACAGTATGTCAGCACAGTACATTCTGCACTGCTGGGCAGTCTTTTTTTAAGCAGAAGGTGCTGCGCATCGCTTTGCTGGAATGCCGAAGGCATCAGCAACGAAGCACGGTAGACAATCGATAATGTGATAATGTGACACTGCAGGATGCTGGAGCCTGTCCCTGCATACCTGGGCTTGAGCAACTTCGGGTGCTTTGAGTGGCAGGCGATCCTATCTTTTACCAAGGCAGCACAGAGGGACTATACTTGCACTTGTGGTGGCATGGCTGCGCTGCTCACATCGCCGAAAAGACTACGTAGGCTTTCAGCTTGTCGGATCGGGCCCTTGCGTGCAAGAGTCCATAAGATTGTTTTTTCTCATCCAGTCGGTGCCGGCACAGTGGCAATTTTGTTGCGCGAGGCTGTGGTTCTCTGATGTGCTGTGGCTCCGATCAGACTTTGAATTTCCGCTGCGCCATCGGCTTAAGCCATCAAAGGATGGTGCTGTAGACTGGGCGGCGTTTTCCTTCCACGGAAGATCCGACAAAAATAGTTTCTGTGCACAGGGTTCCCGTGTCATCCCACCATGGCAAACTTCGAAGTACTGAAATAGCTCTGTGGCATCTGCATGGGTCCAGTCAGTTCGGGGCAGGGGCTGAACTTGACACCCATGATGTCTGCAGGTGATGCAGAGACGTCACATTCGACAATATTTCGTACTTGGAGGCAGTCAAGGGCAGTGAAGGGTTGCAGCTTATGTGGATCGCGTGATCGTTGCAGCGGAGGCGATGGCACTCACAAAGGGGCCCGTCCCCCAGATTCAGAACCAGCTGCTGAGCGTGTTGGCAAGAGCATGTGATTCATATTCGCAAGCTGACGAACGTGTGTAGGGAATTCAGAGGCCATGCAATCTTTCAAAGCCATGACAGAGATTGGCCACGAGTCCCTCTCCAAGTTCGCAAGTGTGGCAGATCACATAGAGTAGCAAGCAAGTAGCAAGTATAACTTTTGAGCTGAGTTGGTCTGATTGTGCAGATGTGCCGTTGTGGGTGTGCCGAAAACCATCGACAACGACATTACCCTTGTGGACAGAAACTTCTGTGCTTGCTTTTGGCATGCCCAGCTTGTCTGTTGCCTACGAGCCACATGTGATGGAAGGATCGAACGTTTGGCTTCGACACTGCTTGTACGGAGGTGGGGGCTTGCTCCGTGCGAGGGCGCGACATGCAGGTTGCTGTTTGCGCAGTCATTTGAATGGCCTTTGAAGTTTGTGTTCAACAGGCACGCAAGGCAATTGATTCGGCCTACATTGAAGCGACCACGAATGCCAATTGCATTGGTCTGGTGAAGCTGATGGGTTGGGCTCTCGGCCTCATGGGCAAACAAGAACCAATTGGTTCCCTGTCACGTGGTTTGGCCCTAACCGTTGACGTCGCAAGCCCCGGCTGACAGGCCGCCACTGTGGCTGGATCGCCTCTACCGCCACCATCGCCGCGTCCGCGACCTGAGCAAGCGGCAAGTATCTGCAAGTGACCTTGCGTGCCAACATGTGCTTGCTGATGGGCCTGCGGTGTTCGACCTTGTCCACGAAAGCGCGGCAAAGCAAGGCGTAACGTCGACATCTGCCTGATCCCAGAGATGGAAATCTCCATGCCCAAATTGATGGACCACATTGTTCAGGCAAGAAGTCATACGGTGGCGGGGGCGTCAAGAAGTGTTTGTGTGAGCAGGTCATGCGACGTCAGAAGTACGCGGTCATTGTCGTGGCGGAAGGTATGGAGCCCAGAAAAGCGCTCTTTCGACGCTACCGTGCCTGCAAGCTCGCTCTTTGCCTGCTATGCCATCTAATCAGTCTGCCCCGCAGAGCAGATGTTACAGTAGATGCCGGTCATAACTGTGAGGTTGTGGAGACACGCTCATCACAAGTGATGCGGGCAAGGATGCCGGTGGCAACAAGCTCCTTGCGGATGTAGGCCTGGGCTTTTGGCTTTTGGGCTTTTCCCTGCCACCCTGCTTTGACCCTGCCTAAAGTTAGACACGTGTTCGCACTGACGCCGCTCTGGCACCTGGATCTCTTCATGAAAGATGTCATGGGAACAGCGAACAAGATTTACCAGGTGAACGCTGGGATCAGTCAACTAGCCTGGGAGTCCTTTGATGCGCGCACAAGGGCGAGTGAATACTTTTGCGTTGAACACCACCACCCTGCAGGCAAGGGTTCGGCACTAGAAACACACTGGAGATTCTCTGGGGATAATTTGTGGTTGGGCACTCCACAGGGGGCTCTCTGGAAATACTCTGGGGTTGGGCACTCCAGGGATTCTCTGGGGATCTCTGAGGTTGGTAGCACTTCAGGGACAAGAAGAGATCCTGGGAGCTGGAACAAGAAGTCACCAGTCTTGGTCTTTAGCAGCTTTAGCAGTCTCTATCATGAAGGAAACGCAAGGGAGAGAGAGACCACTCCAGCGCCAATCAACACAAGGACCATTGAATCGTGGGTGAACAATCGATATGGGGTCATGCATATTCATGGTACTGGTAAGCCGCCCAACAATCCTCATTCGCAAGAAGAGATAGAATTGCACAGCGCAACAACCCAATAAAGGTATGTTAGGAAAGGGTCCCAGCAAGAGAGGGGACTCCCCCATCGCAAGTGCAGGACGATGTCGGACAGAACTTAAGCATGGTGCATAGGCCTTCTTTTTGTTGTGAAGCAGCAGCGGGCGCAAGGTTTCCCGAGCATTTAAGAAAGCAGGAAGCAAGCATCAAAGCACGTTTGTAGGGATGTTTGTGTTCGGTTCTGGAGCTCGCGACATGCTGTGTTATCCGACACTCAATGTCCGACAGCTGTCGTGCAAGCTTAATAATTGTGCCCGTGGCCGGGCAGCACGATGTTGATGCCAAGCAGCAAAGACTTTCAGAGATGCAGAGCGTCGTGGCGCAGGCACGTTCTTGAAGGATGCCATTACCAAGCACCTGAAGAGCGTCAACATGCCAGTCAGCATCAAGCACCTGGGATTTGGTAAGATGGGTAGTCTTCTCCTGTGATGCCATATTGAAGTCTTCCGCCTAAGATGTGCTTGACTGAGCTGGGTATCCACCGCAGCAGTACTCAACATGCTTCTGCACCATTGCTGGTTTGGTCGAGACTTCAAGTGAGGGTGGAAGTTTCAGGTGGTGTTGTCCAAGCTTCGAATGCCTTGTCGCGCACGGGTGAGAAGCCCTCTCTCTCTCACTCTCTCGCTCTCTGGCGCTCGCTCTCTCTCTCTCGCTCTCTGGCTCTCACTCTCGCTCTCTGGCTCTCACTCTCACTCCCGGGCTCTCACTCTCACTCCCTCTCTCCTTGAGCTCACTCTTTTCTACTGAAGAAGACGAGGAAGAGGAAGAGGAAGAGGAAGAAGAAGAAGAAGAAGAAGAAGAAGAAGAAGAAGAAGAAGAAGAAGAAGAAGAAGAAGAAGAAGAAGAAGAAGAAGAAGAAGAAGAAGAAGAAGAAGAAGAAGAAGAAGCAGAAGAAGAAGAAGAAGAAGAAGAAGAAGAAGAAGAAGAAGAAGAAGAAGAAGAAGAAGAAGAAGAAGAAGAAGAAGAAGAAGAAGAAGAAGAAGAAGAAGAAGAAGAAGCAGAAGAAGAGAAATGTGAGTGGCAATAGCGCTATCAGTGACGTTTGCAGGCCAGGGGCCACAGCAATCCACAGCAGGCCTCAACACAAACAACCTTACTTTGCGTTGACTTGGGGAGCTGCATCATTGCAGTGTGCCGTGTGTGTGTGTGTGTGTGTGTGTCAAAAGTGTCTCACAGACGTGAGCGGGGACAGGTCCGAGCCCATGCCCCAAGTACAAACCACGTTGCGCTAACGGCTCCATTCCGGGGCGTGCCCACTGTGCAAAGCAAGTGCTTACGGGCCTGCGTTAGCCCCGTGCAAAAGGAGCCAGAAAGAGAGGGCGAAAAAGAAGCACCAGTGCGCGAAACGAGAGCACAAGAGACAGATAGAGACAGTCTTTCAGAGAGGGAAGCGTTGAGCGGCAACAAGCTTTGAGGTACATCGACCCGACGTACATGGTTCGGGCTGTGCCGGCAAATGCCTTCGATAGTATCTACTGTACAGTTTTGGCCCAGATGGCGGTGCATGCAGCTATGGAGCCTCGATTGCAAGACCCGTTTACAAGCACGAGGGGCAGCGTCGTTCGAGTCCACTTTTTGCAAGTGCGGCAAAGAGTGAGCCACAATCAGGCATGTTGCTTGGCACCTTCGTTCGCTTGAGTTTTGATTTGCTTTGTAAGCCTGAGGCTGGCTACACTGGCATCAGTGTGGGCAAAGTGGATGAACGTTATGTGATGCTCCCTATCCATTCAATCGTCGACAAAGGAGCGCGAAAGGTGGGCTGGCTATGTCATGAGTCATGAGGGCTGAACAAGGTGTGGCAGTGGTGTCGACCAATGAAGGAGCTGTTGTTTGTATGGTCACTTTACGAGATTGGTGAGCTGAGTTTCTTTTTGAGTTGCCCCGCCGTGATCGGAAGTATGATCGGCCTCCAATCCTGGAGCTGTAATCTAGTTCTGGTGTCGAGGTCCATCAGGGGTCTCAAAGCCTCCGGCCTTTAGGGCCTCCAGCCCCAAGATCGCGAGAGAAGGTCGGTGGGGGTGTGCCCGAGATTTATGGGCGGGAATGGCCCTACTGAAGCGTGTCCAATATTGAGGTATTGAGGCACATGCTGTAATGC